CAGAAATTTTCCTGGAAAAAATGGTGGAAAAAGTGTTAGGAAGTTCATGGGGAGGGGGAGGGGTCGTATTTGAGGATGGGAATTGGGTGGTCGCATTTTTTAGGAATTGATCACAACGCGATGAGATGCCCTGTATGTGATGAAGGCGCATTTCTCGATTACCTGGCGGGCAGAATTTTTTCCCTGTGCAGGCAACCAGTCCGCAATTTTGGAGATTGTCCCTTTCTTGCAGCTCGACAGTGAGTGGATCAGGGCGCAGTGGTGGTCACGCGTGGAAGGAAGATCACTCGCAAGAGGGAAATCACCGATTAGTGGACGAGATACTGCTGTGTGAAACGTAGCCTGTCGTCTCGCTCGTCTTTCTCTTCTCCCATCCTTCATCTTTGAACACTCTTCCACGCAACTGTCTCGCTTCTTGTAATACTCACTGAATCCTTGAGCGCCACCTGGAACGCCTTTGACGGTCCAGCCTACTGTTTTCTTTTGTAGACCATCTGCAGTCTTGTTCGCTTTGAGTGCTGACGCTTTCTAGGGGGAGCAAGCGAAGACAACTGTAGAGAGCGGGTTGGCGAATTGCCAAACTCAGCCTTTCTGATCCGCCCAGCATCCGCAGCGAACAAGGCGTTGGCATCTACGAATTCATATTTGCACGCTAAGGCGCACGAATTGTAAGGCGAGATGTGTGTTGTTATGTGCTAGAGCTTTCAATGCTCATGTTTCCACTGCCTCAGCACCCTTCAGAAGTGATCCGCCACATTTTGGTCCTTACAGTATCATTTTCCTCTTACACTTTTTCTTCCACATCTAAAGGCAGCTGGCACGATAAATCCTCAAGACGAGTGGGATTACTTCCCGGGACAGGACGTTATGAATGGACGACCGTACTGGTGCTCGTATTGCTTCATTTGCTAGGTATAGCGAAGGGATTGGTGCGAAGCGGCTGGGGTGCAGCATTGATTATGAGTATGTACGTACGTGCAGCCGTGCCTACTGTAGCGGTTATTGGCAAGATGCCTACGGGAAACTCGTCCGAAATTGCTTTTTGAGTCATTAAGAACGAAGGCTTTTCTTCGCAGGTTTTTGACCGTTTCACTTCGTTTTTTCGCCATTTTCCACTACGTAGCGCCCTGCTAGCATTTTAGGCCGAGTACCAAATTATCGTGCCAACTGCATACTGTCTATACCATATGTCCATACTTGTGATGTACACTCCTTATCCCTGAGCCAGAGTAGGCGTGGCATTTGAACATGGCACGGAACTGGTTACTCGTGGAATATTCCAGTCTGGGACAACTGTCATCTTGTTCTGTGTTGGACAGAGACACGACAACAATTGTGTCAAGATGAAAATATCTCACCAGAAGCATAGACACCTTCAGGTTAAGTTGAAACATGCGGCCACGCCTACCCGATCTCAGGGATTTCGAGTATATGTGTGTGTGCTTTGAGCTACAGCCTATCGCTTTGAAGATGACATTTCGTACTGTTTTTTTGCGAAGATTTCGCGTGAAGAGATATTTCAATTCCGCTCATGAAGGCTTTCCAGGGCGCACAATGCGCTGGATTGCACTAATCCTCGCCGGCGTCGTTGTTGTGAAGGTAAGATCAAGACATTGCTATTGTAGAATTCGCTCGTTTCCAAACAAAGGTACCCAGCAATAGCCCCTGTGTTGGTTATTGCGCTTGGTTCAGAAAAACGTGTTTGGTAGAGAATCTGAGCTGTAAGTCAGCAAAAAGAATGAAAGGATGTAAAGAAAAAAGAAACGAGTGCATGAGGAGGCCTTCCTTCAGTTTATGGGAGAGGCAAGAAGGGTTATCGGTGTAAATAACAGAGTCCTAATAGAGCGAGAGGGACGCTTCGCAGTAGAATGATGACACCACTTGCTCGCTGCTGGGCAAAATCTGCCGGTTGATATGCCTATTACCAACACAGAGAAATGTAGATTGCCTCTGTTCTATGGAACTTTTTTTTTTCGTGAAATGGTGACCCCTTTGTGAATCTATGATTACATGTTGCCTCCTGTGACTGGTCAAGGTTTTATGTACAGGGAGAGGCGAAAAAAGAGACGGCAAAAGTAGAATAGAAAGTCTGCCTGGTAAGATCTTGCTTTATAAGCAGTAAAGAAGCACTACTGCTAAGCCTCCACGGTTGCGGCGAGTTAAGAACATCGTCACAAGCACCAAGCTCGAGACGTTTTAGGGTGTTCGCGTAAGCCTCAGCAGTCTGTTTGCATTTTTCCCTCGTCATCAGTAGTACAAGTCCTTCTGTGTAAGCCTAAAATTAAACTCTGACCCAAGGGCAATGAGGCAGCTCGTCTCCATCGTCTATTAGTCGCTAATTTCAGGTGTTTATTTGGATTTACTACTGAATATGTTGATTTACTTTCAGGCTCAAGATTTCGCTGCACTGTTGGGTCCTCTACTAGGAGGTGGTGGTGGCGGCGGCGGAGGAATAGGGGTACGACATACATTTTATTCGTTTCCATGTTTTCCTTCACAGCTCCAATCATTCAGAGTATTCTATCTGGACTCGGCGGTGGTGGAGGTGGTGGCAAAGGACCTGATATTGGCAGCTTATTACAGTTAGGAGCAGGACTATTGAATGTGAGTGACGGTTTATGCTAGAACCAAAAAGTTCATTTTTTCAACTAGAACCTTTGTCCACTGTACACAACAGGGATTGACGGTGCACTAATAGTCATAGAAAAGCGGCCGGATCCGGATATCCCTCATAGGTACACTCAAAACCCTTGAGATGCGTTAGGGGCGGCTGCGCCCTTTTATTGAAAGTGGCGACTTCCAATATTTTTGTGAGATATTTTCATTTTTGAGCAGTTGTGACCGAATCTTTGTCCAACAAAGAACAGGATGACAGCTATATCAAAATGAGGCATCCCACGAGTACCCCTTGTATGCCATGTTCAAATGCCACGCCCACTCCGTCTCAGGGATAGGAAGTATAAGAGGTTGGCGCTCGGCTTGTGAACGTTAGCGGATGAACACAGAGTATCCAGTGAGGTTGACAGTCTATTTTTCCTGATTTTTGGCGAATCAAGAAGAAAATTAAAAAAGGGAACATGTAGCTGATTATACTCCTTATCCCTGAGACGGATAGGTGTGGCATTTGTACATGGCACAGAACTGGTTACTCGTGGGATATTTAAATTTGAGACAACCGCCATCTTGTTCTTTGTTGGACAGAGACGTGACCACATTTGGGTCAAAATGAAAATATCTCTCCAAAAGCATAGCCACCACGATGTTTAGTTGAAGTACGCAGCCACGCCTACCTCATCGCAAGGATTTTGAGTGTATGCTTGGAAGTGAGGCGACATCACCCATGGCTCTGCATTGGCGTATCAGCTCGACCTTTGAGTGAGATTCGTCTCTTAATGACTTAAAGGCAGTTGGCACGATGGTTCCCTACTTAGCCTAAAATGCTAGTAGGGCGCTGTATAGTGGGGAAATGGCGAAAGAACGGAGTGAAACGGTCAAAATCCTGCGAAGAAAAAGCCTCCGTTCTCAGTGACTTGAAAATCGATTTCGGACGAGTTTCCCGTAGGCATCTTGCCAATCACCGCTACCGAAGATACGGCTGCATATGTACCCATATATGCATGCAGCATCACGGCCGCTTCATACCAATCCCTTCTTCATAATTTGCTTAGCAAATGAATGAATACGAGCGTCAGGAACGGTCGTCCATTTGTGGGCGGGCGGGCGTGGCGGGCGTTTGGGACGTAAAGTTGTGGCTTGATAGGGCCCTTATAAGGGCACCTTCCTCGGGGAAACCGCTATGCAGCTTCATTTCACGTTTTTTTCATTCATTTTCGAAAATTTCATCTGCGCTCACTACTACGTAGGAATCGCTCGATCTTGAAAAAAATAGTGTCCACTTTGTAGTATTCAGTTCCACGTAGAAGTCTTCGAACTTCATCCTTCGCAGTCTGATGTTGGTGCATAAGACCCGAAAATTCTCGCAGCCGGAGTCTAGTACAGCTTCAGAACGCAATCGTTCAGCTTATACCAACTTGAGCGCTTTCTGCGCTCAAGTTTGTGGCTAAGTGTATTAGTAAGGTACTGGCTAAGTGTGTTGGTAAGGTACCTACACCACCGACGCTTCTGCTGTCGCATGTTTCGAGGAACAGTTCCTCTCCAGCTCCGCGAACGACGCGTAGTGGGTGGTTCCTCTTTGTCTCTATGCGATGATGTTCTTGTTGACATTCCTGACCCACCTTTCCAAATATTCCACATAAGTTCTCCCATTCTGGTGCCTGTTTGCTGAAAGAAGAGTTCACTGGTTTTGGTGTCTTGGGTTTGGGACAGAAAGCACCTGATTTGAATAAGGGTTCTGTTGATATAGGAGAATGAGAACATTCTGCAGAAGTTTGGGTGCAATCCTGTCGTAAGCTGGTGCTGTATTTCATTCATTGACATGCCGGACTCGCGATGGAGAGCTGGACTTAACCAGTGTCCTTCGTTTAATCAGCCTGTTATGGCTCTGAAATTTGAACAGCTTTCAGTGAGGTACCAATCTAGCCCTTCTAGGTCAGAGTACTTCTTCAGTTTCGAAGGAATGAGGCGCACTTCTCTCCCTGTAAGCGTGAAAATTTAACCGAATCCAATGAATTTTTCCTAGTTTTCAGTGCATGCCCCCAACCAGGAATCTATTTCTCTAGCCTGCATTTCAGAGAAATGGTGGAGGAGGTGGGTCACCGTTTCCGATGCCAGCACCAGCTCCAGCACCAGGTCCTGGACCTTCGATTGGAGGACCAAGTAACATCGCAGTGCCTGACTACACGGACTACGGAGAAAATGTGAGCGAAAAAACCGAAATAACCGAAAAACCAAAGGAGGATAAAACCAAGTAAAAGTGTTACGTCACATTAATTTATTCGGCAGCTGTTGTCGTTTTAGTAATAAAACTGCATTCACTGTTTGGATGTCACTTTTTATGCTTGAACTGATCGCGACGTAACACTTTTGCTTGCTGATGTAGTTATTAGCTTAACTTCTCGTCTTGTGACTAAGCTATTTTCGTTCGGGCAAAAACAGCTCAACAAACTGTGACCCTTGAAGGCAGTTTTAGCAATGAGCCAGCGAGAAGTTTGTTGGTATCAAGGCTAGACGTAGAAGTGTAAGTGCCAACTGATTCGCTTGAGTAAAAAAAGTGAAGGAAACAGTCAAGAGCGCTCGAAGCCATGCTTTTCCTGTGCAAGCGAGAGACAAAAAAATTTGTGTGGTTCCCGGGCGAGAGGCGAGATAGCGGCGAGAGAGCGCGAAAACGAGTAAGATACCCAATAAGATATCTATCAACGTGGGCGGAGTCACTGGCTCTTCGGCGGAGCCACTTGCAAAACCGTGGGTCTTACCTCAGCTACCTTGAAAATTTCCAAGGGGAACTTGTACAGGGTTGTTCGCTGCTGTTTCCACTATCTTCCCCTCCGAATGGATATTATGAGTGCCGTACCTTTTAACGCATCTAGAGTATTTCCTTCATAGAAGCCAGACTTATACCAACCAAATATGAAGCTACTTGAAGTCGCTATAGGTGAAAGGTACAGCTGTCGCGCACATCAAAGAGTATGTAACCATAATAAGAAAAGGATGAAGTCTTCGCCGTTGATCAATCCTTTGTGGGATGCGGCACGCATTCTACTTCCATTCAGAATCGTAGTGGCTTATTGAATGCGATGTGGCCTATACAATGACTTGCGGGCGGCCGATGTACAAGTCAGTGTTTTTCCCTCCCAGACGAATCCGGTACCAAGTAACCGTTCCCGGAGGATAGAAGGCTTGATTGACCTGGGAGGGAGCCCGTCCGTTATTCAATCCGTGAGCCGTGCACATGGTAAGAATGCCACTTGCCAATACACTATACCAGCTTCATAATCATATCTAGGCATTTGGGAAAGGCATGCTCACAGAGTTCTGTGATGTCAAAACGTGCACTGCTGAGTGCGCTCTCTTATACGCCGCTTCCATATCTCCATCCTATACCGTCGAAATTCCACAAATCTCACAAAGAACTTTGACGAACCCGCAATTAAGCTCCTGGACATGCCGTCATCAGGCACAGTAATATGGGCTATAAAAGTGGAAGCACAGTAAAGAAGATTTCTCATGCAATAGGGTCTGAAGTCTTCACCCCTCCTGCGACAGAGCTAACAGGTGTAATTGACCGGACTGCGATTTAGTAATTCAGGAGCACAAGGGGATTTCTCTAGACGCTATTTACTCCCTACTGCACCCAGTTTTCCGAACAACGTTTTGCCTCTTTTCCTCGGAGACAGATTTGGTAAGAAATTGTTTCCAGATGTATGATATTTGACCTCCTGCACGAACATAGCATCCGCTGTAGGAAACACCCGGCGCCTGCGCCAGGTTCGCCGGCTCGTGCTTATTATGGATCTGTGCATATAGCGCGGACTCCAGGCAGTTTCAAGCCAAGCGAAGTGCCAGGGTAGCTAACGAAAGAATACGAACAAAGCACTTTCCTTCCTCGACTACCATAGCTTTTCTTCCCTTGGCTGAGGAGTCCTTAGCAACGAGAGGAACACTATCTCAGAGGAAGGGTGCAGATGAGCAAATAGACTGCGCTGTCATGATCCCTTTTTTCCCAACGTAACATCCTTGACACCCCATGCAGATATAATATTCGTACTCGCGGTGGCAAACAAGTCCTGCTACGTTTTTCAGCTATTCAGAAAATTTGGGATCTATTGACGTGGGCGCTATTCGGCTATTGGATAATTGAACTTCAGTAAATGGGTCTGTTGCGAAGTCCAGTGCAGGTACGCAGGCAGCTAGAGGAGAGTGGGTGCAAGAGGCTCGTGAAGTGCAAAAAAAAATTGTGGGGTGGGTGAGCCACTTATAGTACGTGAACAGTTAGAATCTGTAAAATCTAGTGATCACAGAACGCTGTACAGGTGAGAGGGTGCAGAGAAAAGTTGAAACGACTAACCAATTGCAAGCAACAGCGGGCGAAGAACTCTAGAATAAGCGAAAATGAAGTAACACATAAATATAGGTTGTGAGACCTTCCGAGAGGGGAGTGAGACGTTGGTCCCAGTCCCGAAAGGACACGATTCTTTCAGAATCTCTGGTTGCCAATTCAAGAAGCTCGCCAGCATTGCTATCTAACTCGCAGCTTCGCAGAGGGTTCAAGCGGGTTGAATGTTAAAGACAATCTGTGCAGTCATTTTCCTTTATCCCAGTTCATGCCGTGTCTGGGGGCAATATATCCACAGCTGCAGTAGCGTGTCACTTTCTCTGCTCAGAAGTGTACGGAAACGGAGCTGCCTTAAGAGAAGCCAAACGCGCTACGTGTCTTGCCCTTTCTGGTTGCTCATTCCCAGTGAGCGCCTGTTTCGCTGCGGGATCTTGGCATCGACGCAAGTGGTGCAACTAGACAGTAGCGCGGGCGGAGTAAAACGGTGCCCAGGTACCACTACCTTCCAGCCCTATTCCTGTGCACTTTTGAGCGGAGAATTGGGCGCTACTGCAGCTGCTCACCATTTTACCTTGCACTTGACAAGGACAATTGCCTACGGGGTGAGTGTACATTTCGCCTCCAATCTACTAATAACACAAAATGCTGCTATGAAGAACGGAAAGAATAGTTCGCTTCTCTGCCAAGCAAAAGAGATCAACTCAATGTTGCCTACTTATTCCCAATATTTCGAAGCTCTTTGGAGCTTTTTAATACAATGCGGTCCGCCGTACGGCGAGCACTTCCAGGTCATTTTAAAATTTTCTCAGGAACTTGCTTCTTTTTCCAATTGCTCTCTTTTTTCGAGTACGTGTCTCCAGCAAAAATCATTTTTTGACATCATTAGAACATGGAAGAAAAGACAAATTAATCAAACAAAACACCGCATCAAGGCAATTGTGTGGCACACCATATGTGTCACGATTCCAGAAGGTGTCAAAATGACAGCTCATTTTCAGCGCCATCGGTACTGATGCAGTTTATTCAGCAAATCGCCTGGAAAGGTAGAAACATGAATTCAGTGATTGTGCAACCTCCTGTTTTACAGGTACACGTGCCAACTGCAGCTGAATTGAAACGTCAGCGAAACCGGCAACGGCAGAAAGCCAAGCTGGAACAAGAGGTAGTGTGTGCAGCACGCTAACCCGTCGATTTCTATCGGATGTTGTGACTGTGTGCTTGTAGTTTCAGCAGTTTATTAGAGTTGTAGATGTCGTGTGATGGTAGATGCTTTTTAGCGTCGTCAGAAGCTACGTCGTCAACGACGGCGGCGACAGCAAAAGAATCGAGCCCGCCAACAGCAACGGGTAGACTAACACTTGCTTAGCGAAATCACCAGCTTCATTTATGTTGTGTGTTTTCTTCAGCACATTCCATCCGGATTCGTCGATCGGTAGTGTCACCTCAACAAAGTGTCCCATTAAGTTGGATGACAATTCTGGCCCAGAGAGAGCAAGAGGGGCAGAACCTTGTCATCCATTCAGATGCCATTTTTCACTATAACGCATACTGCGGCGTCTGGAAAGGGCTTAACCTCACTAGTTACAGTTCCTAATCATTGGTGGAGGTATCAGCCAG